AAAATTTGTGGGGAAAAATTAAAAAAAATTATTATATATTGTGTTATTGTGTTGTTTGAATTTTATTTTATTTGCATAGTTTAATCTTGCCTCCACCGGAATCAATTTTTGACTACGCCGTTGATTAAAATATTGTATTGATTATCTTTTAGTTAGACAGCTACTACAAGTAATACATTGTTGATCTGTACATAAAGATTGAAACGAGAAGGCTTGATTTTTATTGAACTTAGAAGTCACGAATTAGATCTGAGCTATATCAAGGAATCGTTGATACAATAAATACAAAAGAACGATGAGAGATTTAAAGGTTGAAAAGGAATAGTTCTATTGACTTTTGTTGTTGGAGGTCCGAGTGAAATGCAGCATCTTTGTGATGATGTGATAAATCTAACATCATGAAATTTCGATGGTAAATTAAAGATAAAATTGTAAAGAATTAGATAGGTAAGATTAAGAAGCTTGTTTCCTATGTATATTCATTGAACTTAAAGAAACATGTCTTCTCCGAGCTCAAAAGTCGATAATGTGAAAAGTTGTTATTTTCACTTTATTGTCCGACACACTTTTGACGTCTTAAATTTTTTTACTATTTCCATGACCCCAAATAATCCCCCTTCTAATCTTTTTAAGTTCATATTTGTTTGTTGTTGATAACGATGAGCTGTTATAAGAATAATATCAAATATATGGGTAATTGGCGCAAAACGTCCATATCTTTGTATATTTTTGTGCAAAACGTCCATACTTTTCGTTTTTTGGCTTAGAACGTCCCTATCTTTACATTTTCTTACGCAAAACATCATTTTGGCCATTTTACCATTCTATTAAAATAAAACAAACACAAAAGAAAAAAAAAGAAAGAATAAATTGCAATTATGGGTTCAAACTTTTCAAAAGGTGCAAATTAGTCACAAATATGAAAAAATCATCACCCCTAAGCCGCCACCTTTGAATGCAAAATCTCCTACCTCCGATTACTTTGGCTGTCGAACCAACATACCACCTTGAAACCCTCATTACCCTCTTCACAACCCACCCAACCACGAGTCCCAAATCTGGCAGATTTGACAAAAATCGAGCTTTAAACTTTGCCACATGAAATACGGTCAAACGCCGGAATCATGCCGTTTGGCCACCTTCCTTGCCGGAATATACCACCGGCCAACTCCCCTACTCAGGACGACCTCGACCATGCAAACAATTTAGCCCAAACAGTAAGGATAAGATATGAATTTCAAATTGAAAGCTGTCCGTCGCAATTGTCACGACACCGCACCAATTTTCCTCCAATTCAAGCGCCGCCGTAACGACCCATGATGGCGGAACACTTGGGCTGGGTGCGCCATCACCTGGCGCGCCTAGCCTAGCCATGGGTCCCCTTCAATTTGGCTCAAATCATCTTCAATCTAGGTTTGAAATGTTCGCTGGTAAGAACTCACGACTGGACTTTCTTTGCTTTGAAATTGGTGATTGTTGGTTGCTTGTTCGAGGAAATTGTATACAAAGGTAGCGTTGACTTGATGAGGAGAGTTGACTAGTGGTGGATCTCGACCGGTTGGGTGGCTGGACTGCGAGTTGTGGGTGATTGACTGATTTTCAGGCTGCAATTTTTGAATTTGATTTCCGGTCAAATTACAATGAGTTATGAGGATTTCTTGGTATGTAGTTGTAGAGGGTAATGACGAAAACATGTTGGGACCAATATTCGACGGTTTGGACGGCTGGAAGTTGCCGAAAAACGAGCTCATGTATTCGGCTGAGAAGGGGCAAGAGAGATTTTTTTTTCTTTTTAATATTTTTATAAGTTTTGGATTGATTTGCATTTTTTAGAAAGTTTAGGAGTAAAATTGCAATTTATTCTTAGTTTTTCTTTTCTTTTCTTTTTTGTTTTATTTATATAGGAGGGTCTATTAGTCATTTTATGTTAAAAATTGGTCAAAAGGACGTTTTGCGCAAGGAATGTGAAATGTATGGATATTTTGAGCCAAAAAAAGAAAAGTATGGACTTTTGCACAAACACGTGCAAAGTTCCCTATGTTTTGCACCAATTACCCTTCAACAAATTACTGACAAAATTATTGAAATTGTCAATAATTTATAATCTAAAATATAATAAGATAATTTGAGTTGAATATCTTTACTAACTTTTATTAGAAAGAAGACACAAATTATAAAATTTTAATGTATACATAAAATGTGAAATGCACATACAAAAACTAGTACAATTAAGAAGTTGTAATACTATTTTGCCCTTCATCTACCAACATATTTCAAACTATATAACTATATTTAGTACCACGAGGGTTTTTATTGAAATATCTATATTGCCCTTATTTTTTAATTATAATCTTTTAACTTTTCTCATCTTTTCTAGGAAACTTTAGTGAAAGTAGTATTGTACGAGGTGCGCACATGACAAGGAAGGGTCCGCGAGAGCTGACTTAAGTAATTAGTATTTCCCTTTTTATGTCTATGAGCAAATTTAAGGCTATACAAAATATGTCGAGTTGAGCACATATGATAATTAAGGAGTTCTACAAGCGACTGCATAAATCAGTTCAAACTGACCACGAGCCAATATAATATTACAAATGTAATAATTGACAACATGACCATGCTATCGATATGACAATTTGTGATATTTGATACTAACCACACATGTCAAGTCTTATCTACTAATCTTCAGTTTGACAATTATTAAATTAATTTTTTTTTTTCAAATTCATTTTCAATCACATATTCTTTAAATAAAATATTTTATTCATAAATTTAAAATTTTTCTTACTTTTTAACCATATACCCTCTAAAAAAAATATTATTTTAAAAGTCACTTTTCCTCAAAAAAATTATTTTAATAGAGTGCTCTTGTAGAAATTAATTTTTTTAAAAAAAAAATCTATGAAAACTTGCTCATAAAACTCATTTCACGAAGCAAAAG